CTAAATGTATTAAATTTGAAAAGTTATAATTAATGAACAATGATTGATTGTTCATTAAATGGTATAAAAGATCACGAGCGAGTCATCATCTAACTTGATGCAAAGTATTGTGTAATTTTGCTCGAAAAAAAAAAAATGAATTTACAATTTCGAAAGATGGACGAAAAAGAAGAAGAAGAAGAAAAAAAAAGCAGAACCGCCGACGTAAATGGGGTGGCATTGCATCGATTCTTCCATTATTCGTTGACTGATCTAACTCGATGGCTCTCTTCGTTCGTTAGCCGACGCAAGTTTCACGATTAATTCCAATATTTCACTTGGCATCCTAGCCTCAATTAAAACCTGTCGTCGCTGTTTTAACTGCAATGTATTCTCCGCTGAAAATCCGTTTCAAGTGTTCCATCTCTCTCTCTCTCTCTGTGAATGGCACGCCCTCTGTATTGTGTGTGTGCGAGCGTGTTCATATGTCATATCATGTGCACCAATACACCGCCATTTATGAATGATATTTATGCCGAGAAAAATATACCCTTATCCGCGAGCTGGGAAATGTCATCGCTTTTAATTCAATAACACTTTGAGAGATTTCTTTGATTTTATCGCGGCTCGATCTATAACGAGATTCCCGATTAGTAATACGATAATCGTGCTTTCAATTAAAATAATTAAGATATTACTTTAAAATTTATTATATACCGTGTTATAATTGGAGGGGGAAAAAAATTCGAGAAAAACAAATTGCATCCTTTTTTCAATTTAAATTTTGCTCGACAACTTCGAGATCGAATTTCGAATATATCCCGGCCAGGCGTTATAAATTACAACAGCATTATCGTCATCGATTCACGCGATGAGATTCGGTGATACGAACGATGGAATATCTCGCTCGAAAATACACCCTTTCCGTATTGACCTTAATTTGTACGGTTGTCGAAAATAGGGGTGGAGAGGGTGGGGAATGACGGCAAGAAATCCGCTTTTCCGCCAGCGGAAATTCGATTTTTCAATTTTTATAAAATCCGGCTTTCGCATAGTAATAACACGCAACCTACCGATGCAATTTCCGGACGAAAATAGGTTAAGTACAGCTGCTAAACTGGATCGACAGATTTGTTGTTTCACACGATTCACGCACGCTTCCCGCTCCGTGTGTGCACCCGTGACATGTGAAATAACAACCGTTAAACCACCTGAAACGGAAAATCTCAAGTTGTCATTTTGCCACGCCAGTTTAAGCTTCCGACTTGCTTGGCACTTGGCCTGAACCACTCGTAATAAGCTTTCGCCAATGTTAAAGGAGATGCAACAAGAAAGGGAGGAAGAAAGGCGCTCGCTTTGTCACCGATTCGGTGCATCGTCCTTTGCAAAAGTTTGAAGAGATAAACTTGACCCTATGCAATCGTGTTTATTCGATTGTCAAGATCGAAAAAATCGTAATTTGAACGATTGACTGTCTGAACATCTAGTCTTTCTTTTTCGAAATCTCTTTCGAATTCTTCTTTTTCTGATTTTTTTCTCTGCTCGTGAATTTCTCTTGATTTATTGCTTAATTTTTATTTTTTTTATTTTTTTTTTACAATTAACAAGATTCAGTCAAATAAAAATAACTAAAATAAAATAATTAAAATGAGAAGATAATGAAAAATATTTACATTTTATTTATTACGTTATAGTTATATATCAAAAATTGAATTTTTAATCGTAATTTTTTTTTGCATATGTTTTGTTTACTTTTATTTATTTGTACATTCATTGAAAACAACAAGAGAAGATTATACACAAAAGGAAGAAATAGTAATTATAGATTGCCAAACGAAAAATATTTCCTTGTGTAATATATTCTTCGATATGGAACAATCGTAATAATAAAATTATATTTCTTCGTAGAATAATAGATCAAGATAGTTTCTTTTATTTATGACGATATATTCCCGAATCAAATTTATAAAACGAATACGACTGGTTTACAATCTATTTCAATTAAATCGTTTCACGTGTATTTATAGATTTCATTAAAACGATTGTACCTCCATTTTAAATTTTCATTAGCGCAAGATATAGTGGATTCATTGTATAGCACCATTTTTACGAGGCCATTTTATCGTTCATCGATATATACGTTTAAAATGTTGTAAGCTATTTTTTTCGAAATTAATACAGATATTAATATGATTGTTTTTTTCTTTATAAATTATAAACATTTATTATAAAATCAATTATTTCAAACGATAAGAATATTATAAATCTTTCTTCAAACTTATTTTTTTTTTTAGTAAAACAGTATATTTATTAATAATAATATTTATTATTAATATTTACTATTAACATTCATTTTTTAATCGAATCTATTAACATTTACTGGAAATATTTTATCTCGATACTTACTTTTTATTTATTATTATATTATTATAATATCATCGTTACATAATTATATTGGTATTTATATTTTGAAGAAAAACAGGATCGTAAATTATCCTTGTTTGAATGTTTCCTAATTTTACGCATTCTTGTTCGTATTGTGAATATTTCATCTTCTATACCATTTTCGATTTTGTAATATATTTTTCAAACATCACCGACTTTCGTTGAAACTCCGTCGATAATTATCCGTGGCTTTTAAATTGTCAAGTGCCCACGATCGATAAACATTTCAATTTTAGAAAGACGTTAATTCAATCGTAACGGTGACGTCGTCGGCATGATTTTACTTTTATCCCATTTAAAATTCATGTCTCCCTCCGACACGGTTGCTGCGCTCGACCACAGCGCAAAGAGGTTGAGACAGTACGTTAAATATTGAACAAGCTCGACGCCGCGCGATTTTCAGAGGTTATATCGATCATAAACACCACTTGCGACCACGGTCACTCTGTTTACAAAATCGAGTGGGGGAAGCCGAGGTCCAATCGCGCATATGGTGGTCAGTCGTGACGAGTCAGTGTGTGCATGTGAACGTGTTAAAGAATCGACAAGACGAAAAAGAAAGAAAACGAAATTTGTTTGTGCTTCTTATATATTAATGATAATATATAATATGATCTCGATGAATCAAGATAAATATTTTCGTGAATTCGATATTTGGATATATGTCTTTCTTCTTTTTTCTTTAATCGAAATAATCGTTTATATACGGTATAGGAGCATCAAGCTATTGGCTTCAATCCATTTGAATGTTATATCTCATAGACGAGATAAGTTACTCTGACGAACAGTTTCGTCCCAAATCTTGGATAGTTGGTTTCCTGCGCTTCTATGAACCATTTTAATCAGAACCATTGATCGATGAAGATAGACACGATCGAAGCTAGCCTTCAGGTAGCGGTACGATGGTATTCTAAATGAGGATTAAATCGAACCAAGAGTGGAAGGAGGCTGTTCCTATGGTTTCATAGAGGGAGCGCGTGTCGATCTAGCAAGTAGGTAGTTTATGGTGACTCATGGCATAACCTAACTAGATTGAGCATGGTAATTTTGTTCGTGATTAAAATTTGATAGCGTTGGCGGTTATTACATGATATATAATATAATATGGTATACTTCTTTTTTTACGGTTCTATAATAACACATTTTTGATATTCGGAATTGTCTTAATTATAAGGAAACATAACGAGTTTTCGTGAACGTATCGAATTCATCAATTCATAATTTATAGTCTATTTCATTTAATTTCTAATCTACTTATAATTTGATGCGATTTATGATTACCATTGATTTTTGAATTTCAAAATTGATGATTTTATTTATTTGATTCTATAATATTTCGTTACTGTATATTAATTTTATAGAAAATTATTATTTGTGTTATAGGGAATTGTTTTAATCAAATTCTATTGAAATTAACAAATTATCCTGATATTTCCTAGATGTAAAATCAGATCTGCTATGTATATCGTATTTGGAAAACGTATTTACAATTTAAAGGAATACATATTTAATAAATAGGAATATCAGAATTCTTAATAATTAATTCTAATTTCTCGTTTTCAAATCAATAATTATAATTTTTTTTTCATTATTATATCATTCGTCGTCTTTTATATAAAACTTACATAGTTTCCAGTTTCCATGAACTTCAGATTAAACTTTGATAAACAGAACAATCATCTGAATTCCTCGAGGTAAAGGAACTTCCGTTCTCTTGGGATGCATCGTGGCTCTCGGCCAATAATGACCCCCAATATAATGTAATTGGATGCATTCCGCCGGATATAATTCATCCTCGTTCGAATACTCGCACAGTTTACGATTAATCTATAATTAATTATAATGTTTCCCAAATATCATGTTAATAGATATATATATATATATACAAATATAATATTTAGATTTAATTTATAATTAAAAATGTGATAAATTGATTTCTTTAATAATCAAATTTGCTAAAAATTTAAAAATATATATTTATATGAACATAAAATAGATTTATCAATAATCAATTTTTATAGCATATATAGCCTCTTGTTACGTTACTGTTTGTTTCTTCGGGTACTTTTTAAACAAATGCGTGTCTTTCCTCACAAACCGATATATTATATTTATTTTACGTTCTATGTTCTAATCTCATTATTCAACGTGAGAATTTTCGCTCATCATTATGCATGATTTCAATATCTAATGTACAGAAATCGCATTAATAAAGAATTAATGTTTTTGTGGATAAAAAACGAGAGAAATCTTGTAAAGAGTAATAAATTTATGGATACGTTTTCCGTAATATTATATTATGCAATGTATGGCATAATGCCAGTTTCAACTAGTACCAGCAAAGAAAAAAAGAAAAGTAAACATGTAAAAATTGAGGTTAGATTCAAGTAAAACTGATTCGCATAGAATAACGCCATCTATGAAAGGCACAGATATGTAATATCACAGTGATTAGTTGCCATGTAGAACAATTATTGTAGAATTAAACCGACCTCAAGAGAGGTTGGCTTAACGAATTACGCTATGCTTAAAACGATTATTACCGCATTAATTTCGTTTTATGCGCCTTGTTGCAGGTCCGAGGCAAGGAATAATTCGGAACAACGACTTTCCTCACTTCCATGAAAACGGCCTCCTATTATTAGGTTACCGTTGAATACCAGACGACCGCGATAAGCAATCCTTAGAATCAAGAAACAAAAATCCGAAGAATCCTTAGAATCCTTAGAAAACAAGTAAGTGTATATATATTTTTATCATATATAATTTTTCTCTATTTGTATTTCTGTTCTTATTTCCTGTTTATCCAAGTCTTTTGTTCTTTTTTCATTTTTATATATTTGCGTTATATACCTTTTTACCTGCGCGTCTCACATCTTTGTGATTCGTTAATGCCAGATATATACTTGATTCGATGAAAATATTCTCGATTAATTTTTTTATTTCTGCTACTAACCTGTACAAAATAACGAATGCGAGAAAAATATTTTACCGCGTTTAAACGATTGTTGGTTTATCTTACATTTTTTAAACTGATTAAATACCGCGTCATTCCTGCTTCTTCCATGTCTTGAATCTATTTATTCAAGTTCCCTCATAAAATATATTAGAAGTTTATTTATCCACTACATTAGCTACATCATACGTTTCTTTTCGTTCATAATGGAAACACATTCGTCAATTTTCTTCAATCTTTCTCTACTCTCTCAGTCTCTTTGTTCTCTATCATTCTTCCGTTCTACCCTCTTTCCTTTCAATCCCTCAATCTTACCCCTAACTAACAGTGCTAAAATGCGCGAAAGCTTGCAAACTGCGTTATGACGATAATGGGCGTAGTAAATAAGCAAGTGCAGGCTAAATTATAGCTGTCTCCACCCTTCGTCCCCTACCTTTGGTTAGAACGAGAGAGAGAGAGAGTGAGAGAGAGAGGATAGCCCCTGAAACCACTTAACTTAACGAATCCTGCGGATAAAGGGTTATGCTTGAATGCACAAAGGAGAATACTCGAAAAAAATATAATTAAATGCTTTATTCATAACTCTTTTTCATTCCGTTCTTCTTGTCCGCCCTTTTCCTTCTCTCTCTCTCTCTCTCTCTCTCTCTCC